GATGCCATTTTTGAAATATATCTCGAGCACGAATGTGTCATGCTAAAAACCACTTGAGGCTTTCATGTGAACACAGCAACACAAAACATCAATCAAAAGCAAACATTTCATCTGGATGAAATCGCTTGCGAGCTACACCACAAAATAAAAAACTCATCTAAAAGCATATTGATGAATTGAAGTCGACATCTTGACATTACATTACGATATTAGATCATAGTTGATGCATGCACGATCAGAATTATACTGGTATGAAAAAATTTGATTTTGCACACATGCCCTTTTTGAAATATAGCGTATAATTAGCCTGGAGACGATGCTATCAAAGCATAGGAGACCTCGATTCAATAATTTTTGCACTACTTGAGATTAGATGCTTATTGTTGGGTATGTTTCTGGGCAAAACTTCATTTTCACAACGCTTTTATTCTGAGTGGGTAAATGACAATTCCTGACTTACAATGAGGAATTTTGCATCCGGGATGTGTGAATTTTTCCGTTTCCTGAAAATATGCTGTGCCCAAGCAAGCCGAATGTGAACTGTCAAATAAGTGCAATTGAATGTATTCACAGATGAAGAAATACGTGAACATCGTATTGAACAATGTGGATATATCACCAGGACGAAGTCGTGTGGCTGCAATTCTATTTGCTACTGAGCCAAAAGTATCGTTCGGTTTCGACAAGTACTATACGCAGCGCTCTGTAAAAGGTGGCACTTGTGATCCTTGAATTGATTCACTTGTTGACATGCAAAAATCCTTCAGGATATATTATTTTACTATTATTATCTGAACGCTCCAATTGAATACAACCAAGTTGTATTCCTGAACGATACAACTTGATTGCATTCAATTGGAGCGTTCAGAAAGAGAGTTTTAAAGTGTAGAAGTTCTCTCTATGCCTCATTCCGATACTTTCACCGTTACCAAACAAACGATCTGCGCAACAATCTGACTGCAACTCTAGGTCGAACGAGATTCTTCAGCTGAATCACACAAATTTTCCAGCATCCATCCGGAAACTACCATATCTCGGTGGACCTACGTTTCTGTCGAGAGCACTAACATTTGCTGCTGGTTTTTTGTATCATGAGCAAAATATGCGAGACGGTAAGCACAGAAAACACAAGCTAATGCCAACCCCCAAACATGATCGACTCCAGGTTGGCACTTTGAGTTTGCGTTGTTCTCATCTCAGAATGTCACCGGTTATACATCACTGGTTTCTGAAGGTTCTTTCNAAACGGACCGATGCTCCGTCTAAGTTGATCGACTGCCGTTGAATATCCTCTTAGAACAAAGAAACAAACGCGAATCCACAATCAAAAAGTTGTTTTCAGTATATTTTCGAAAGCTGAATGATCCGATATAATTGAGGTGATGATCGTCGTATCGGATGGCTACTCTGAGGATAATTTCACGAATGCAGCTGCACTGTTGCACGAGAAACTTCATGTGAAGATCGCAGCAATGGTTTGTCGAAGTTACAATAAAGAGAAATTGCTGCCGATAACACGTTTCGAAGGCGCCATATTTGTTCGCGAAGATACTGAAGCGCTGAGCATTTGGTTATGGCGACAACAGGCTAGTGATGATGGCAACTTCGTTGATGGCGTTTTTTTTTTCAAATTTCCTGTTGAATGAAACTAAGTTTATTATTGACTCACTACAAATCATTGTCGCATCGCAACCGCAAACCGAAAAAACATAATCCCAATCCCTATCGAGAACAGCGTAACTACATTAAAAGTAAAGGAGGAGACTGCTTAATAATAACATGTCAATAGAGTGCGTCGTCACTCATCAATCATTCAACGAACACGCATCTCTCTTATTGCCTCGAATTGGACTGATTTTGGTACGTGCTTTTTGTTTTCAGCGAATTTGGAACGAGAATTTTGGACGTTATGTGCAGAAGGAACGCTCGGCTCCATTGAGTCAATCAAAATCGACCGAATCACCGAATAACTCATGAATGTTTCTTAAAATACATCCGTAAATATTTGTGTAATGATGAGTGAATGAGTTCTTTTACACGGCTTTTAATGGAAATTCTCGACAGCTGTCGATTTGTTGTGTGATCCAGAAAAACAGTTGCTTGAAATCGAGATTTAACAGCGAAAAACTTTGGGAAAATATTGTTTAGATAGCAATTAATCGAGCAATCAGCTGATATTGACACATATCAGATGAAAAGTGAGATATGAATTGAATTGAAGAGTTCATTCAAGCAATTCATTCAGTCAGCATTTTGTTATGATCTCTTCATTCGTTTCGTCGCGTAATTGTGAGCTTGATCATTTTTTATCGATCCATTCAAACAGTGATGGTGTTCGAATTCAATCCTCTCAAATCTTTTCAATCAATCCGTAAACTTGTCCACTTCAATGCGTATTTTAGCGTGATGTTTGATAGTAAATGAAAATTCAGTCATATGTATTTATTCAACTGTAATTATGCTTATCAAAACAAACGTTTCGCTCACTTGAAGCTATTGTTTTGGTCACGCGATACGTGTTATTTCATTGCAAACTTCGATATTCCTCGCAAGAATTTCTTTCTGTTCATTTGATCACATCTTTTTCGAGAATATCGAGGATTATTGGCTTCGTTTAATGTATAAATTGTTTTTTGAGGCGTGAATTGATTTGTTGATTAGTGGTAGTTCACTGTGTGATATTTATCTTTCTTCTCAATTGCAAGCTTCGGCTAGGCCATACACACATATTTGTGCTCATTGACGTTCATGCTTAATGGATGGATGGATTTCTCATGAGAATTGCGCGTGATGTTTGCTAATCCACCACAGACTTCTTCATCAATTGCTCGAAAAATATCGCGCAAATTTATTGCGTCTGCCTACTGCGCCAAGCTTGTGTGATGCATAATCATTTTCCTCCTTCATATGTGTGTGATACGATTAATGAATGCGCTCGCTTCCAAATAACTTTTGATTCAAAATGCATTCTCAGCTTGTCACTAATGAATTTTCTTCGAGTGTCGAAGAAGATCTGACGATTTCAAGCCAACAGTTTAATGGTGAATCTCAAGATTTTCGGCTCCGATATCTTCAACTAACTTTCAACAGTGATGTCTGAAGAGGCTTCAAATTTCTGAAGTGGCTTCAAATTTCTAGCGTTGTATCAGACCAATTTCTGCTTCTCAATCCAATAGAGGAAATGAAAGTGTGAAATGTGAATGTTCCCCTTGGACCATACGATACTCTATTCAAAACTTCTCCACT